AGGCAGAAACCAGCGGGTCAGCCGCTGGCGCCGCAGGTGCGGTGCAAGGAAGGGGCCGCGTGTGGCGCAGTGTCGCGCGCTTTCGCTTCGCAGTCGTTGCCTAGTCTGACGAGAGAGAAAATAGGCCCAGGAGTGGGAGGAGTGCCCAGAAATAGTGCGGTCCGGGCTCCCTGGAGGAGGAGCCCAGAGCGAAGGAGGAGGAGAAGGAGGAGGCGGGCAGCTCGGAGCGCGACGCGGCGTCGCATAAGAGCAGAGCCGCCGGCAGCCGGTCCGCCGGGCTGCCAGGAGCTCTGGCAGCGGCCTCATGGAGGAGAAGCGGATTCTGTGCGTGGGGCTGGTGGTGCTGGACGTGATCAGCGTGGTGGACCAGTACCCGGAGGAGGACACGGACCGCAGGTAGGGGCGCCCGGGCCCCTCGGAGACCGCAGCTGCGGGGCCACCGAGCCCAGGCCCCGCATGAGGCCCCGAGCCTGCAGCCTGCAAGCCGGCGCCCTCTGCCAGAGACGCGGGGCCGTCCGCGCGGAGAAGAGGTAGTAAGACCCAGGGTCTGCAGAGCGCGGGGCAGCCCACCTGAGCCAGCCATCCGGGTCCGCGTCGGACTGATGCTTAGAGGGCCGAAGTGATTGGTTTGTCTCAGTGCACACGGCTAGAGAGGTGCAGGGCGGAGCCAGTCTCCTTCTTTTCTTCTTTTTTCTTGGGTTGGTTGGTTTTTTAAGACAGTCTCTCTCTGTGTATTCCAGGCTGGCCTCGAACTCACTGTGTAGCGCAGGTCGGCCTCTCAATCGCTGGGATCCTCCTGAGTGCTGGGATCACAGGCATGCGCCACCACTCCAGCCCTCCTCCTTTTTCTTTTTTTTCCTCCAACCCTGTGCATGTCTCTTTCACTAACTTTCACTTCTAATTATTATTTTGAGCCAGGGTCTCACTATGTAGTCCAGGCTGGCCTTAAACTCACTGTGTAGCCCAGGTTGGCTTCAGACTTGTAGTGATCCTCCTGCCTCAGCCTCCTGAGTACTGTACTAGAATTATAGGCTTGCACCACTACATCCGGCTGCAAACTTCTAATTTGTTTACCACATACCCAGTGCATCGTTTCCAAACAAGAATGTGAGGTAGTTTACAGTGATAAGTGCATGCAGCAAGATTGTCCGGAACGTTTGGGACCATGGAATTTGAGCTTTGACCGCAGTTCAGGCTGGCAGGCACTGCAGGCAAACCCGAGCTGTCCTGGCTCAGGGGTAGAGCTGGCTGGTGAGCCACTGCCAGCTTCCCTCAGGGCTCAGTTCCAGAAGGAGCCCACCAGCAGCCGGTTTCTACTGAGAAAGGCGGAGTAGCACCGGTTGTCTGGCGGAAGCAGGCGTCCTTTGACAGCTCCTGTCTGGACACTGGACAGGGCCCTGCATTCAGCTGTCATGCCACAGAGGCGTGTGTGGGGCTTTCTCACGGTGCCATCCAGCACTGGCACACTGAGGATTGCTCCTTGGCCATCAGTTATCACAGCCCCAGAACTGGATGAAGGCTGTTCAAGGCTGAGCCGTGGCAGGCGCTGCAGCTCTGATAGCAGCGAGACTGAGGGGGAGCCCAGGCCTCTCAGGATCTGGGCTGGAGAGCTTCGTCCCACCACTACCTCCTGCTGTCCCTGGGAACTGTAGGCACCAGTCAAATCCTCTTCCAGATGAGGATGCTGAAGGTTAGGAAAAAATTATTTTGTTCAGGCCCATATTTATTAAGTAGTAGAGCAGCAGTTACACTCGTGTCCCCTGACTCAGTCTAGGGCTCCAGCCCTCTGTTCTCTCTTGTCCTTCGTGTCCCATTGGCGCTGCCCATCCCTGGAGTTGACCCTTTTCTTTGAGCTGTTTTGTTTGCCGGAGGTTAGTGGCCCTTGCCCAGGGTGCAGGGACGGTGGGGAAAGGGTACAGGGTGTGCTGCTGTGTAGACCTGACTCTCTGCAGGCGGAACCGGCCCTGGGGTCAGTGTATGCTCTGCTCTGGAGAGCGTGCACACTCGGGCATCGTGCCAGTCAGGGAAGACTGGGCACCCCATTCTGCCAGAGCCCCAGTCCTGCTTCCCTTGAGTCTGGCTGTGCAGGAGACTGGGAGTGTCTGCTGCTGCCACTGAGATGGACCTGTGGGGGTGACTCTGTGAGCCCTGCCCTTATCTCTAGGGCTCCTTGCCCTCAATGTGCCCCCGCCAACTTCCCTAAACCCAGCTCTCGACTCCTCTGGGCTTCCCAGAAGAGCAAACCAGAGGGACACCCAGACCTTCCTGAGTGTCTCTCAGGACCTGGAGATCAGCCAGAGCCCTGAGGAGTGGCACTTGCCTTCCAGAGTCCAGGCAGGGGGGAGCTCTCCCGAGAGTGCTCTGGTGCATTGCTGAGTGTGCACAGAAGGGTCAGTGCACCTTTGAAGGCCTCCACAGGATGAAACTCCAGCATGATGGTCCATGCCTGTAATGTAATTCCAGCACCTGGGAGGCTGAGGCAGGATGATTCTGGCAAGGTTAAGGCTAGCCTGTCTCAAAAGATCAAAAAATGAATACATAAAACAAAGTACAGAGTAAGTAGCAATGGCTTTGGAGTCAGGAAATCTGGGTTCTGATGGGTTCAGCAGTGTTATTGGTGTAGTCCTGAGCAAGACAAATACCTCTAGGCTCCTGTTTTCTTTGCACAAATATTTCCCCAAATCAGCACTGGGCTTGAAAAATCTTTGGTCCTTTAGGAATTGTGCCCCCACCCCAGCCAGTACTAGGGATTGAATCCAGGGCTTTGTGCATGCAAATGCTGTACCACTTGAGACAGTCTCCCTGTGTAGGTCAGGGCTGCTGGCCTTGAACTCACTGCATAGTCCAGGCTGGCCTGCAAGTCGCAGCAATCCTCCTGTCTCAGCCTTCCTAGTGCTGGGTCTGCAGGCATGTGCTGCTAGGCCCAGCCAGAATGTTTTTTTCTACTGAGATCATTCTTTTCCCTTTTCACACAGCTAGAGAGAACTTTGGGGTTTTGGTTTTTGTTTTAGTGTGTGTGTGTGTGTGTGTGTGTGTGTGTGTGTGGTTTGTGTTTTTGTTTGTTTTGAGACAGGGTCTCACTGTGTAGTTGAGACTGACCTGGAACTCACTGTGTAGCCCAGGCTGATCTCAAACTCTCAAGTCGCAGCAATCCTCCTGTCTCAGCCTTCCTAGTGCTGGGTCTGCAGGCATGTGCTGCTAGGCCCAGCCAGAATGTTTTTTTCTACTGAGATCATTCTTTTCCCTTTTCACACAGCTAGAGAGAACTTTGGGGTTTTGGTTTTTGTTTTAGTGTGTGTGTGTGTGTGTGTGTGTGTGTGTGTGTGGTTTGTGTTTTTGTTTGTTTTGAGACAGGGTCTCACTGTGTAGTTGAGACTGACCTGGAACTCACTGTGTAGCCCAGGCTGATCTCAAACTCACAGCAGTCCTCCTGCCTCAGCCTCCCAAGTGCTGGGATTACAGGCATGCGCCACGACGCCTGGCCTTAGTGTGTGTGCGTTTTAAGGCAGGGTTTTGCTGTGTAGCCCAGGCTGACCTCAAACTCATAGCAATTTTTACTCCTGAGTGCTGGGATTAAAGGTGCACAGCACCACACCCAGCCAGGGTTAAATTTTATGTACAAATGTACCTTAGCCTAAAAATTCTGGGTTGGCCCATTGTGGTGGTGCATGCCTATAACCCAGCACTCTGGGAGGCTGAGGCAGGAGGATTGAAAGTTCTAGCCCAGCCTGGATGATTTAGTAAGACCCTGTCTCAGAAAACAAAAAAACTGGGGTGGGGATGTAGCCCTGTGAGAAGGCCCTGAATAAAATCCTAGTATCTTGCCCACCCAAATTTCTGGTTCAATTCTCCCCTCCCCTCTCCTTCCCTCTCCTCTCCTCTCTCTGTCGTGATGTACCTCTAAACTATATCTCCAGCCTTTTAAATTTTTATTTTGAGATAAGGTCTCATTGAATTGCCCACGCTGGCCTCAAATTTGATATTCTCCTGCCTCAGCCACCTAAGTAGCTAGGATTACGGACATGTGCTCTTGGCTGAGTATTTTCTCCTACTTAGTGGTTCATTAGTATTTGTTCCCTTTACTGTTAGGTGCCACAGTCATGATGGTTACTACGGTTATTTCATGGAGCTAGCACAATGGAAATGATAACCTACAACTGTTTGCCTTGCAGTTTTACTGGTGCATGAGAAATTAAAGTCCTTTGAGGCCGTGTGTGGAAGTTGTCATTTTTGTTAATGATGATCGTGAAGCCCTTCAGGTGTATCATGTTAGTTTCTTTTTTTTTTTTCCCCTAGTAATTTTTCTTTTTTATCTTACTGAGTTTATTGGTACTTTTAGTTTCCTTTTAGTGGATTTTCAGGAAAGATGAAGAAAATCTGTTCTTTTGGACTTTCAGTATTGTGATGTTACCCCCCCCATGCTTTTTTTTTTTTTTTTTTTTTT